GGAGGACCAGAGAGCCTATATTTTTTTCTTTTCCATTGTTTTAAAAAAAAAAAATATATATATATATATATGTTTTTTGTATGTGTATTTTTAAGTAGAAGGATATACTAGTTTCTTTTTTTTCCCCAGGAGCTGGTAATGTCTTACTTCCTCAGATATTGTAACTGTTGTACTATAGGCTGAGACATAGGAGACATGCTCCACCTATCCCCTTCTCCTGTAGAGAAGCAACAAGTTCTGCTCTTCTCCTAGTCTTGTAGAGCTGTGTTGCCTGCTGTAACCCCCTGACCCCTTTTTCTTTCTTTCTAACTGCTCCCAGGCTTCCAGACTATACTGATCCCATCAGCTCTTCTGGTGAGGTAAGGCAGAAACTGGCCCTTTGGACAGTGCACCGAAAGGCTGAGATGCTGAAGACATATTCCACTCTTTTCCCTCCCTCCTAGGGGTGAAGCTTAGGTTCTCCACCTCCTCTCAATCTCATAGCTGTGTGCTGGGTGCAGGAAGCTGCTTACCCCATTTCCTTTGTTCCTAACCACCTGTAGGCATCTGGTCTATGCTGGTTCCATTAGTTCTCCACATGAGGCAAGATAGAAACCAGCCCCATGATTCAGTATTGAAGGGCTAGGATGTGGGATGCATAATCTCTCTTCCTCTGAAGGAGAAGTCACAGGCTAAGGCAATCTCTCTCTGAGCTGAAGGGCTGACATGGGTAAAGTGAAATTATTGTTTTCACCTGTGTCAGTGTGGCTGTTTTTGGTTTTGTGCTCATCTGGGATACTATAATCTCTTAACTGGGTACTAGACTTCTCATAAAGGTATTTTGATGTGTATATCTTTCCTAAGTCTCTGTTTTGTCCTATTCCGCCATCTTGCTGACATCACTCCCCTCCCATAGTTCAGTTTTGACCCTAACAATTCATTTGGTCCCAAACTACTGTTTTCTATTCTTTTTATTTTAACCACACTCATACATTTCTACTGTTAGTTACAGTAATTCTTCAGCTATACCAGGTTTTCTCATACCTCTGCTGTCCACCCAGAACGTGTTTCTTTACTTTCTGGATCAGTTAGCTTTCCTAAAAACCAGAAACATGTATAAAATGTCATTTGTTTGAAGAGTGATTAAAAGCACAGACTCTCATACTTAGGTTTTTATTTCAGTCCTGCCATTTTTCAGCTGCTTGACTTTTGGCAAATTACTTATCTGTGCCTCGAGTTATTTCTAATTGCACTGGTATTCTTATAAGGATTAAATGAGTTGAATTAACCTTTGTCAAGTTCTTAAGACAATGCCTCGCATACAGTAATTGTTGGATTAAAAAATAGAATGTGGGTCACAGAGGTGTTGGAGGAACAAACTAGGGCAGTGCTGAGGGTCTCATTGGCAAGATTCACATGCTGTGTCTTTGCCACCAAATGACTTGACTTTTACTTCTTTGTGTCCCTGTAGTTTTCCCTCCAGCTTTAGATTTCTAAAAAAGAAAATATTTTTTATTTTATTTTTATTTTTATTTTTTTTATTTTTTATTATTATTACATTAATGCAAACATGGGGTACAGTGTAGTGTTTTCATATACATTTTGAAATACTTTCATCAAGCTGGTTCACATAAATTTCATGTCATTTGCAAAGAAAACTACAAAAAAAAGAGAATATTTTAATGTGTTTTACTGATAAATAACATAAAAATAAAGGCAATTTTGAAAAAGAAAAAAAAAAAAAGAAAATATGACTGACTGAGTTCAGGTCAAATGCCCATCCCTTAGGGGCACTTAATCCATCCAGTGGTGCTGGCTACCATCCTTGCTACCAAAGTGGCAGACTCAGTTCTTACTGTGTGCCTGTGCCTGCCCTAACTTTCTCCATCAGATCGCCTGGTTTGTCTTGTCTTACACAGATCTCTGGTAGAGACTTGACCACATATCTGTAGTTACATGTCAGTAAGTCTTTTTCTGCCTCTCAGTTGTCAAGCTCTCTAGAGTCAGACCCAGGTTCCTGTTATTCTGAACTTAGCACAGGACCTGGCAATGAATAGGCATTTAATAAAGGGTGAAAAATATCCCCCCAATTCAACCTTCTTTTACTCCCCTTCTTGGGTTTGTCATGAACCTGGCTGCCATTGACCTCCTGTACTTTCTAGACAAGTAGTGTTAAGCTAAGTGGTAATTGAAACTCCAGAAACAGCCCCATGGATTCTTGGGATTAAGAGAACAAGCACTGCATGCTTAGGGGGGTTTCAGCTGCTCTAGTGAGCCTCAGAGATAACTTGGTCGAATAAAGTGGTTATTTAGAAGTGGGGAGGATGACAAAGGTAGCAAAGACTTGGGAAATGTAATAAAGCAGCAGTAGTAGAATTTGTACAATAAGGGAGTCATGGATATATCCTTTATCTATTCTGCTTCCACCTAAGCCAGTGATTCTCAACTGAAGGTGATTAGTTGTCACAACTGGAGAAAAGGTGTGTACGACTGGCCTCTGGTGGGTAGAGGCCAGGGATGCTGTTAACATTATAACAAAGAATTACCCATCCCGAAAGGCCAGTAGTGCTGAGACTGGGAAACCCTGATCAAATCCTTAGGCTCCCACCCCAGCATGTCTTCAGAGGAAAAATGGGGGCCATGTGGCTGATAAATCAAGATGAATCAGTCACAATATCTGAAAGCTCATAAGTGTGCAGTTGCCTGAATTTGGTACTCTAAGGACTATAAAAATAGACATTTGTGTTTCCCAGCCTTCCTAGACCAGAGCCTTGTATGTCCATAGGAAGGCAGTAAATGATGAGCCCCAAAGGAGTTCTTTCTGCAGGAAGGAGAAAGGAAGATGGTGTCTTAGGCTAGAGTGGCAGAGGTTTTAGAAGCAGGGTGGCTCATAGCATTTGGGAAGAGAGTTGACTAGAAGAAATGGGTTAGGTAGGAGAGTGGAAGGAAATTTGATGTAGCACATTGTTTATCCATATGCCGTACATTAATCATTATTTTATTTAAGTGATGGACTGTGAAGGAGAAGGTGTGTTAAATCCAGAATATCTTCCTGGGTTTGAAACCCAGGGAAGGAAACACTTCACATTTAAACTCTGTTGTTTTGGTCCTTTGGTTTCTTTTGCTTTTTGATTCATATTTACTACCTTATATGTAGATAGCCCCAAGTTTGCATCACTGGTTGTTACTATACTCCTGAACTCCAGACCTAAGTCTCTGCAGGTTGTATGTCATCACTGTACATCCCAGAAGTGTCCCAAGTTCAATAATTCTGGATTTCAGTTTGTTATTCTTAACTTATACTTTATAGGAGCTAACAAGCTCCTCTCCTGTCTTCCTTATCTAAGTTGATTTCTTCATTTAGTCAGGGAACATTTACCAAGCACCTGGGTACATAGGACATGGATGAATAAGATAAGACATATTCTTGCCAGAGGATTTTGTGTAATGGGTAAGGTAGATGTATAAACTGGCAATTGAACATATCATGAAAACTAGAGTGACAGAGTTTTATCTCAGGTATTTGGAAATAGAGGTGGGATGTGCTGGGATGCCAGCCTGACGAAGAGGAGGGTCAGCCAGTGCTGCCCAGAGGCAATGGCATCTGATCCGATCTTAAATGATGGATAGATGGGAGTTCACCATGGGAGGATAAGCAGGAAGAACATTCTGAGTGGAAGGCATTCCACATACCAGGCTGGAGGAAAGCAAGGGCACACACCTGCAGGGAACAGCAGCAGTGTGAGCTGCTAAAGCTGAGTTCCAGTGTGAGAAGGGGTGAGAGAAGATCAGAGAGGGGATCACTGCCCAGGCTTCCGCCATGAGTGGTCAGTACCATCAGTGCTGCCTCACTGTTGTCCCTGGGATCTGTTCTATTCCTCCCACCCCATCGTAATGCCACAGCCCCTCTCTCCCTGACCCTGCCGTGGACCTTCCAGTTAATCTCAAACATTGGTCTGTATTTATGATATCATTATTTCTAAGACTTTCTTGTGGGCATATTTGCCTCTGATGTAGGAATCAGTGCTCTGTGCCGTCGTCTCACTGGTTGTTCACCATCAGGCAAGTAGTGAGCACTGTCATACCTCCATTCAAGGTCTTTCCTTTCCCATCTTTTTCACCTGTTGACGTTCTCATTCTCCCAAAGGCTACTGTCTGCTTTCCTTCCTCTGCAGTAACACAGTATGTGGCCTGTGTTAACTTTTTTTCTTACGCAGTGACGTATAGCGTCTGCCCTGAGAGTCAGATTGATGTGGGTTCAAAGGTTATCTGTGTCATTTCTTAGCAGTGTCACTGTGGGAAGGTGACATCACCTAATTTTGATTTTTTTCTCTCTTCATTTGTGCTTAACTACTTTGTCATACTGTGTGACATTAGCTCAGGGTGGTATGATTACGCTTGCAATTCTTTTTTTAAATTTGAGACAAAGTCTCAGTCTGTTGCCCGGGGTGGAGTGCAGTGTCGTCATCATAGCTCACTGCATCCTCAGTCTGCTGGGCTTGACCCATCTTCCTCACAGTTCTTTTAACCCAGAGTATTGATAGCTAGAGAATTTTAATTGGTTATGAAACTGCTGTAGTAGTCTAGGCCTTATAGGAAATCCAGTGTAATGATTAAAAAGTTCTGAAGCCTGACAACTTGGGTTCTAGTACTGTTTCTGCTACTTCCTTGGCGTGTGGTCTTAGGTAAGTTACTCAACTTCTCTGAGCCTGTTTATTCCTCTTTATTATGAAGGTAATAATAATTATTATTCCCATAGAATTTTAATGGGAATTAAATGAGTTCAAGTTTATAAAATATTCGTCTTGTGTAAGGTATATAGCAAAATCCAGCATTAATTGAATGTGTTATCCTTGTTATGATAGCCACCTGTCCAGAATGATGTGTGGACATCATTTGCAAGCCTGATTTTCTTATTCTTTTCTTTGGACTCCTTAGAGATGTTGGTTCTAGGGAACCTAACTAGCCCTACCAAAACTTTGTCTTCAGTTTTTGGAAACTGACTTTTCTTTCTTTCCCAGACAGTTCCTAGATGTGATGGCTAGTGCTCTGACTGGTTGTCTTTACCACATCTCTTCTGAAAACCTATTAAATGCTGTGCATTCATTTTGCTTAATGAATTATTTGCCTCTCGCCTCTGTTAATCACCTGTTCCAAAAGGATGTCATCAGTGAGCTGCTGAGAGCAGGTAGGATATCAGTGCACAATGGTGATGGGAATTAGGCACAGTCACTGCCTTGTGATTCTGCATGGAGTCTGAGTTCAGGTAGTGTCAATTAAAATTTGCAGAGCAGATGTTACTTAGGAAAGAAATAATGGTGGTGAAGTCAAAGGTCAGTACTTTAATGGCAGATCCCACATATGAAAGAAAAGAATAAGAAATGCATCATCGTTATTTTTATTTATACTGTATCCACCTGCACAAAGGCTAAATGTTCAAGTTGTTCTTTATGCCTTGATCAGAGTGTTTGCATTTCCTAATCCTTGCACATCATATTGGAAGTCAGCTTTTGTAAGTGTAAACTCTTGGTCATTTATGACCTATATTGAGAGTATGCTTGTTCAGATCAAGAAAACAAATAACCACCAAATTAGTGAGTTATTTACTCTTAGAACCAAATTAACTGTTGACTTTTATTCTTTAATGTTAAACAAGCAAAAGCAGTATCTAGATAGGTAGACAAAATTTGTACACACTACTAAGAATAGTGTAGTTCACAGTTTTTAAAAAACAGTATTATAGGCTGGGCACAGTGGCTCATGCCTGTAATCCTAACACTTTGGGAGACTAAGGCTTGAGTTTCAAGAGTTATGAGCTCAAGAGTTCATAACTAGCCTGAGCACAAACAGGACCCTACCTCTGCAAAAAGTTAGAAAAGTTAGCTGAGCAGGGTGGCGCAGGCCTATAGTCCCAGCCTCTCAGAAGGCTGAGGCAGGAGGATCGCTGGAGCCCAGAAGTTTGAGGTTGCAGTGAGCTATTATCACACCACTGCACTCTAGTCTGGGTGACAGAGAAAAGCTCTGTCACAAACATTCTGTCGTAAATAAATAAACAAACAAAAAAGCCAGTATTATAAAATCAAATCCCTGAGTTGAGTCATGAAGAATCAGTACCATGTGCTGATTTTTTTAGGCAGTATGATATTGGAGGAAGCAGCCTTGAATGCAGAAAACCTGGATTCTAGTCCCAATTTTATCTTTAATTAATCACAAGACTTTTCAGCATTCCTGGGTGTTTACTTACCTATAAACCAAGGAGTTTAGACTAAGTGAACTTTAGAGATACTTTAAAACATAAAACATTATCAAGTACAGGGCTTTGACCTGAACACTGTGGAAACTAGAGAGACACAGATTCTTTAGGTAAGAAAAAGATAATTAGAAATATGGACATGTTTTATAGTTTTTAAAATGGACATGTTGATAATAGTTTTTAAAATGTGGCATTAATATCTTTTCCAAATGATTTATTTTCTTCCTTTTTTGTTTTGTTTTTTAGATGACATGGAGAGGAATGTTCACAAGCTTCACGTTTTAGAGACTTGTATAAAACTTGATGATACCCCTTATCACAAGGCCATAGACCTCACACTGCCACAGGTGCCAGCCGCTCCACCAGATCCAAACACAAAGGTTGCAGAGGTGCTAAGTCGCCTTCTGGGTGGTGGAGGATACTTCTCAAAAAATGTGCAGCTGACACCTATTTACTATATTGGTATGGGATTTTCGTTTTATTTTCCTTTTTTTCTGACCGAAGATTCTAAGTTCACGGCAGCAGGTTGATGCAGTATAGCATTGCCTCTGGAGCTAGATGCCTGGGTGTGGATTCTTGCTCTCCACTTACTAGTGTTCTGACTTCAGGCATTTACTAACTTCACTTTCTTTATCTGTAAAATGACAATACTAATAGTACCCACCTTATAAGGGCCTTGTAACCATAAATGAAATTATGTAGGTAAAAGCCTTAGACTAATGTTTGGCCTGCATGCATTTCAGCCACTGCCATTACCATTACTGCTAGTAGTGTTAGACATTTTGGCACAGAAGATCACTTTGAGCAATGTTAGAAAAATTAAAATCATTCTTTTTCCTTCCAGATTTTGAAATCAGAATGGATACCAACAGGAGTCAAGTGCTTCCATTTTCTGACATGGATGCAACTTCTGCTACAGATATTCAAAGGTTGCTTACATATACTCATTTGCTGGGCTTTTTGAATTTAAATCTTTAATTCTAAAACACTTCATATTAAATAGCGGTAATAATAATAAGACCTTATTTTTGCCTGAAGTTTGCCAAGCATGAAGAGACCTTTCATCCATAAATCTGTTTCTCCTTAGGTATAAATATGGGTGTTATGGTTGAATACAATCATATTCAGTACATTTATGAAGTTGGGCCATTTAATGAAGCAGACATTTTTTAAAAATTAGGTTTTGAAGCTAAACAGTTCAATATTACAATGTTAACATAATTGAAACTATCAGTGCAGTGTGTACTTTTGACAGTATTATAGTGATTGTAAAGACTTGAGGCTTCTACAGAAACCAAATACCCAGTAAATATTTTGTTCTACCACCAAGAATCTTCCAGAGGTAAAGAAACTTTAGCTTTTGAATCAGGCTGTATCTGTATGGATCAAGCATGCTGAAGCTAATCCAGAGTTGTTTTCTTTGGTTCATACTGTGTCTTTGGAAGAAATATGGTGCTGTACCGTAAGAGACTGTCTTGCCCACTGCATAAGATCATGAAATCACTGCACGCACCGCTGTGCTCAGGCAGCCTTTGTGGAAAGGCTCTGCTAGGCTCTGTGGTGCACGCAGAGAGCTGGGTCATACATGGACCTGACCCCAGGGAGCTTACAGCCTGTGTTACTCTATTGAGCATGTCCACACATTTGATAGAGAGGAACAGATTCAAACTGTAGGGATTCAAACTCTTACCTGCCCATCCCTCCCTATTCACCTACAGTTCTGTGCCTTTTATACCCCTTTTCTGAATGGATTGAGCCTAATCCTCAGTGTCTTTTTTCAACTGCCTTCTTTCCATGTTATCCATCTTCCCTCAAAAAAGGCTTCTCTCTGGGTGGCGCCTGTGGCTTAAAGGAGAAGGGCTCTGGCCTCTATGCTGGTTCAAACCCAGCCCTGGCCAAAAATTGCAAAAAAAAAAAAACCGCTTTCTCTAACCTCATTCAATGATCATTTTTCTTTTCTAGGCATTCTATTGTTCTGGCATGATAAAGTAACATAGTCATTCTCAGCATAAAGAGCATTCCTTTAAAAATACAAAATTTCTATTGTTTTCTGACAGCCAGAGTTTAGGCGAGGACAGATTACAAATGTCTTTTCCCCCTTTTTACTCAGGGAACTTACTATTTCCAAAGTGCTAGGAACAGTGAAGAAACAAATTACACCTTCTGCATTTTTGTGACTTTTGTACATTTTATCTTTTTAACAGTCTTGCCTTTTTTCTTAGGGTTTTCTTTGTATTTGATCTGCCAGTTTGGGTTTCTAAGTGCTCCTCTCTCTGGGAGACAGTAAGTCTAAGAAGAGCACTCACCGTTTGGTATTGTCTACACCAACCTTCCCCGGGTGCTGTGAATAGTGTTCACATTGGAAATCAGCACCGTGTGGGAAACCCTGGACCCCAGTGGGTGCTTTCTTCATTAAAAATGTAGCCATCCCTTCAACCTGAGAGAGAACTTTGTGTTAAGAATTTGTATGTACTTTTTGTTTATAAAGCAGCATTATGTACTGGACTGTCTGCAGTGGCCTAGTTACAGAAGTAAAGGGCACAGACAGGTGGGAGTGGTGAGGACTGTGGTCAGTGGAGAGCTCAGCTTCGCAGTCTCCGAGGAGCAGCAAGGCAGCCAGACTGTAATGGTCATGTCAGTTACTGGTCTTGTTTTGTTTGTTTTGTTTTCAGAGTAGCCATGTTATGTGTGCCTAGAGCTGCTTACTGTTTGGGTTCGAGCCACCCCAGAGGATTTCTTGCTATGAAAATGCGGCATTTGAATCTAATGGGTTTTCATGTGATCTTGGTAAGAAAAAAAATGAACTATTCTTCAATTACTGATGTGCATTCTAATAGCGTCCAAGAATCTGAAATTGGTTACTAAGACTCTAGAGCAGCGGTTCTCAACCTTCCTAATGCCGCAGCCCTTTAATACAGTTCCTGTGGGTTGCGACCCACAGGTTGAGAACCGCTGCTCTAGAGGAATTGCCAGCATCATTGGAATGTTTTATTGTTTTCTTTGAGAAAGAGTTTTTTTAATACATGATTTGGCTTCTCCTCAGCTGATTACTGTCATTTACCACAGGTTTTATAAATGTTATTTTGGTCAGCTTTAATCTTTTTTTTACTAAGAGGAAGAATGTAAATAGTATTTTTTCAAATTTAATTTAAGACACACAAAACCTTATTTAGTTTTCAGATTATCTCGAACAAGAGAAGCAAAGATGTTCAAGCTTTGTTTTCACGGCCAGTGTGAGGCTGGTAGAGGATGTTTGTCACCAGAAAGAGCTGGATGGTTGAGGGAGGAGGGGTCTTGCCTCTGATGCTGCACTTTGATCCACAGCTTTTCTTAAACAGCCTCTTCAGATGTCTCTACGTAGCAAGAACCTTAAATATAAATGTATCTGTATGTTAATGTCAGTCCTGCATATAATGTGAAATGTAAGCATTCCAGTCTTCCCTTAAAGTACTTCAGTATCCGGAAATGGATTACACACGAGTTATTGAGAATGAAATGGCCCCTTTCTCTTAATGGGCTGCTACTTAAGGTTTTGTTTTTCATACTGGTGATTATATGTATTCTAAGGAAGATTTCCTCAAGAAATTAGTTTTTGCACCATTTAGAGGGCCTTAAACGTTTTTATATTTTTCACTGTTAGAGGTTTCTTCAACATGTAGTATTATTAAGCCTTTAAAATATGAGTAATTAGAAGGTAATGTTTACTTTTAAAAGGTAGTTGACTTGATGTTACTGTACTATGTTTGGATCTCTAAACTAGCTTTTATGTATCATTGTCTCACAAACTGATTATTTTCCTTTCTTTTGTAAGGTTAATAACTGGGAGATGGACAAACTAGAGATGGAGGATGCAGTCACATTTTTGAAGAACAAAATCTATTCAGTCAAAGCCCTTCCTACTGCTGATACAAATTTGCAAAGTGCATGTTAAAGTAAAAATCAGCCTTTTCACATTAGGATACATGCATTTGTCAAAATGAATAAAGATTATAATGCAATTGTCAGTGGAATTGCTCTCTATGTCAAAAAATATTTCTTATGTTCATTGTTAAATTAATTTTAAGAATGGAAGTAATGTTGTTATTAGTATTTTAGAATATGCTGAGGAAATTCTAGAAGGGATGTTTTTCCTACGATACTAATCCCCTTTCGTGCCCAAATATTTGAGAAATTCATGAGCTGTAGGTTTCACCTTTTCTCATTGTCTCCAATGCATTAGAAACTGGTTTCTTAGTTGCAGTGCGTCACTGGCAAGTGGATGTGTCACTTCTTTGGTTTGCAATATGAGTATTTATACTTCTGCCATAGCTGCTCTGAGACTTGGGGTTGTACCTTTAAATCATTTTCAAACATTAGCCAGGTGGCAGTTGTCAAGTGTGTAAGAATCGGTGAAGTAGCATGTTAAAATTGGGTGAGGATGACATTGGCATTGGTGACGAGCACTGCTGGTAGAGCTGTTTTATGGGCTGTAAGAGAAACACAGATAATAATACACAGATGGCAGAGAGTCCAAATTTGTTACAACTGATAGGCTGCAAGTTGCACCGTTGTTGAGGTCATTCCTTGCTTTCACATTCTTCCCTTTTACTTTTCCCACCATTTCATGAAGTCTTTTAAATTAAATCTATAAGTGAACTGTGTCCTAAATCACACCTGAGGGCTGTTTTTCAATTATGTTTGTTTTTCAAGTTCAAACATTTTGTTCAATATACCTGTCTACCTAGTATTTGACTCACTGGGGATCTAGTGATGAGTAGCATGATCTCTTGTAGAACTTCCTTGCCAGTTGGTGTTGTTCTACCCCCGGCTACACAGATGTGCAGTTAATGGATGTGTTTCTACATGCCTGGCACTGCTAAGCATTCATGTGTGTTCTCTCTTCATTATTTTAACCACGCTTTGAGCTGTAGTTGCCTTTGTGGTTCTCTTTGGGGGTTTCCTTTATCTCTAAAGTGATTATAAGGTATTGGGCAAAGGCTGCACAGAGGAGGGCAGGGCTAGAGTTTGAATGGGTTGATCTGGGTTTATAAGACAGGTAGTTGAGCATACCCAAGCTGGCCAGACAAAAACGAAGAAATATGACAAGAGTTGCCAGGTTTTATCAACTTATCCAGCCTGCATTTAGAAAAGGTTAGAGCTGAAGGGAAGTTTGGTGGTCTTGTATTATACCTCTCACTTAATGGATGAGGAAGATAAGGCCCAAAGAATTTTATTTTCTGAAGTCTAAGCCCTGCCATTGGATTCTACATCACTTCATCATCGTTTCATCTCTTGCTGCTTTGCAGCTTATGTCCCAGCCGATCTCACTTTTGGTTCCAGATTGAACATCATCTAGCTTTGCGTACTTGACCGAGTGATTCAACTTTTATAAGCTTTAGAACACGATAAAAATATTCTGCAGTTAAACTAAGATTTGTTCTTTAAGTATTAAAGGTGGTGGTAATTATGACTCATATTCAAAGGACAGGACAAATTTATGAATACTTACAACCATCTTTTGGGATAGTAATTTTCTTGAGTTTGTACCAGTTGACATGGCAGCTAAACACTAGCATTGCTAGTGTTAGCATTCTTCATTGCTCAAAGCAAGGAAAAAGGCAAAGAGCTGATCAATGTGTAAAAATTTTAGTCTACTAGTAAAGACTTGCACATTCAAACAAATGAGATATTTTTACCATTCAAATTAGCAGTTTTTTTTCTTTAGGAATTGCACTGCTGACGAAGGTGTAATGAAGGAAGCACTTGCATATATACTGGTTGATGGAATGTAAATCAACACCTTTCTGGAACGTGCTTAGTGGTTTTTTCTTCCTATCATTTAAAAATACTTAGTATTAAAGTCTAATAAACATACAATAGGCTGCATACATTTTAAGGGTACGATCTGGTAAGTTTTGACATATACCCGTGACATTACCACTGACAAGATGATAAACATATTTACCACCTTCAAAGGGTTCCTCTATCTTTCCCTTTCTTGCCCTCTGTCCCTTAGAAACCACTATGGCACACACTGGAAATAGCAGTGCTTCCATTGCACTAGCTGCAGAGCATCTGGGGTATCCAGAGTTTGGTAGAAAATATTTCTTTCTATGACATAATAAGAAATCAGTAAAACCCAAAGTTTTAGGGAAAATATTAAATGTTAATTTTAGCCGGACATGATGGTGTGCTAGTTAAGAGGCTGAAGCTGGAGGATCCCATAAGCCCAGAAATTTGAGAGCAGCCTGAGCAATGTAACAAGACCATGTTTCAAAAACAAAACTAAAAGGTTTAATTTAGTGCAAAATTTCCAAATTGCAGCTTTTTTTTTTTCCAGAGAAGCTTGATTTTGTTTTCTAGACATAGCTTTTAAATATCAGGTTGTAAGCTTAAAAATGGCAATTCTTGATCAAGACATTTTATGAGTTCTTCAAATTCTTGGTAGGTAGTTACCATTGACAAGAAACTTTGTGTATACAAGTGGCACATGAAGCAATTTAAAACTTTAAAAAATCAAAAAATTAGAAGTTATGTGAATAGCCTAACCACACTTCTTTTTTTGTCATTGACAAAATGAGATATTGGCATTTTTCTGGTTATAATACGATTGGAACTCAAATGCAATTGAAGTTTTTCATATGAAGTGTTTCCAAATGATAAATTTCCAATTTATAGATTTTATGTGTACACACACACACATATATATGTATTATTGTTAAGAGTTGTCACCCTGCAAACAGCTTGGACATCTCTAAGCAAATAGACATCTCCATGAGATGGAGGTTTGGAGCATGTACCTGGAGCTGTATCTCTGAGGAGCCAGCATTCCTCAACCCCCAACCAACGGCACTTTCCCATGAAATTACTCAGCAGCTAGAGGATCCCCTGTCCGTGATGGTCAGTGGCTCACTCAGCAGTAGGCTACTGGTGACTGGACGTGGTCTTTGCTTCACACACACCCCACAGCAGAGCACTGAGTGTCAGCTCCTCTGCTTTCTACTCCTGGGGACTGAGAGGTGGACTGTCACACCCCATTTGAGCTGCTTTCTAGATGAGGAGCTTACTGCTCAAGGTGGCTGTGGCTCCTCAGCAGGCTGAGGAGATAGATACATCTTGACTCACTTATTACCTGTTTGTGGTGTACATGGCTGTGATAGGCTCAGGGGTGGGCCCAGAAAAAGCTGCAGAAGCCTACCTTTCCTGGGGTTGAATCCCCAATGCGCCTTCGCTTCTTGCAGATGTGTCTTGAAATAGGGAAGGCCGAGTGAGATAGAGACCGTATTTCTGCCACTACGTGTTTCTGCCAACACTTTCGTGGAACATTTGGGTTTTCTGGAATAGCAGTAACAGGTGCCAGGGTGTGGCATGGCAGGATATGGAGCATCTGTTTTGCTGGTGGGGATTGTGGCTAAGGTCATGTGGCTCTCAAGTCAGCGATGGGCAGCATCTTCTTGACTTCTCAGCCTCCAGGCTCTTACGGACAGCCAGTTCTGAGAAGGTGTTCTCAGAGTCACCCTGGGAGCCAGATTAAAGGCTGTTTCTTCAGTCCCTCTTACTGTCTTATCAGCAGAAGGAGGCTTATGCAAATGGCTAGAAGTTCATGTCTAAGAACATGTGTCTAAACTAGACAGTGTTTTCTGTGATTAGCAACTGAATTGTGATTGATAAAGATACTAGGATATATGCATATATACAAGGTTGGACAATTAAGTTTGCAAACTCACCCTAGAAAAGTGCTCCATACCTGTTCGCTGAATATCACTACAGTCACCTCCCAAGTACTCCCCTTGGGAAGCCATACACTGTCACCAGTGCCTAGTTCGTCTTTCAAAGCACTTTTTCTAGGATTAATTTGCGAACTGAATAGTCAGTTTTCATACAATGACAGCTCTGCTGGCCGTTCCAGAAAAGGTGTTCCAAAATTGCTCTGAAGAGTGTGCTAGGTGCTAGGGTGGCTTAAGTGCTGATGTGGGCTCAGCTTCCCAGGGGAGGACCTTGAAGGTGAATGTAGTGGTATCCAGCAATGAGGTATCTAGCAATTTTTCTAGGAAGAGTTCACGAACTTAATTGTTTGACTTCATGTGTGTGTTATAGTAAAGAAATAAGACACCTTTCTTTAAAATTTTCTGAACTTTGTTTTAAATAATTTCACTCAGGGTTGGAGACCCACTAGAAACTTGCTTCTCAGGCAATCTCTTTACGCAGAATCCTGAAAAGGGAACTCAAACTCAAACTCTTGCCTGATTGTCTCGGGAAATGCATTTCTTATTTTTGCTAGAAAACGCAGAACAGAGAAAACATAGGAAGTTTATTAAATATGTACGTAACACTTTCATCTTCTCATAACTTTTAAGTTAAATTAGACAAAGTGCCAATGCTCTGGTATCTGGCAACCTTTGAAGTACTTGGATGTTGCTTGTACTCATCAGAAAATACTGCTTCTGTCTTATTAAATGCTAGTTCTGAGGAAAGCCCGCATTTGAAGAAAATCAATTAAAGATAAATGAAACCGAACCAGTCTGAGGTTGGTCCTGCTGCTGTGGGGCGTGGGAACAGACGGGCCGGGAACACTGTGAGGTCCAGGTGTGATGTGTCTGCTCTTGGCGCAGCTGCCCCGGGGCGGGGCAGACCTCTGCGCAGGCCATTGCCTTGGGAGACCGCAGTACCCCTCCTCAGTGTTTCCCTGAGGGAGCGCCAGGCGCCTCCGCCAGGCCATCCGTGGTAGTGCAGGCCGAACAGGCGTTTTCAGTTGCAGCCTATTTTGATATCATTTCTTAGGTGATTTTGGCAAATAAGTAGCTTGAAAGAAAAACAGACAACCAAGGCAATTATGGTCACGTTTTTTGAATTGTGAATATACCTGCCCATTAAAAAAAAAAAAGACATCTTGTGTCCTGTAAGCCATGCTATCTCTCTTGTATGGGGCTCTCTGCCCTAGTAGCACCAACCGAGAAAGATGCTTCTGAAACTCACAATTAACTGTGATTGTGATATCAATGTGATTTTTTTAATTAAAAAAATTTTAGATTGTGTCACAATACATAACTTAAAACTTAACCATCCTAATCATTTTTAAGCATACAGTTCAG